GGGGGGGGGCAGGGAACAGGGCCTCTCCCATTGCCTGCTGGTACTCCCTGGTAAGTTTATAGATGGCCACTAGATCCTCTCTCAGCCTTCTCTCAAAAGCAGCTGAACAGGTTCAGATCCTGTAGCCTCTCCTCATAGGGCCTCCCCTGCTGCCCCCCCCCAACCATGCGAGTGGCCCTTGTTTGGACCCTCTCGATGTTGTCCACATCCCTCCTGAAGTGTGGTGCCCAAAACTGGATGCAGTACTCCAGCTGCGGCCTGACCAGTGTCGCATTAGAGGGGAAGGATCACCTCCTTCGACCTGCTCGTGATGCATCTGTGGATACATGACAAGGTGCGGTTAGCTTTACTGACCGCGTCCTCACACTGGCGGCCCATGTTCATCTTGGAATCAATAATGACTCTAAGATCCTTTTCTGCCTCTGCGCTGACGAGAAGGGAGTTCCCCAGCCTGTAGGTATGCTGCTGGTTCTTCCTCCCCAGGTGCAGCACCTTGCACTTGTCAGTATTGCATCCCATCCTGTTCTTATCTGCCCACCCCATAACCCATCTAGATCCAGTTGCAGCCTGTCCCTCCCTTCTAGCGTCCCCACGTCTCCCCACATCTTAGTGTCATGCACAAATCTGAACAAGGTGCTTTTCACCCCCTTGTCCAAGTCGCTGATAAAGATATTGAACAGTGCGGGCCCGAGGATCGAGCCCTGGGGAACTCCGCTGCCCACATCCCTCCAGGTTGAAAATGACCTGACCACCAACATAATTCTGCACTCTAAAAAAATTACTTTGCTTTCAGAAAGTTTCTTGGTTTTAAGAAGCTAAGCATACAAGACAGCAACAACAAGCACCTGCTTACAGGTCTGAAGCCACCACACAAGAGACACTAAGTACCTGCACTTTTTGCAGATCAACTATAAAACAGAGATTCTCAATGTAGCCTGCTCATCTACATCTCATTCAAGAGTGACCATTCCCCAGCTATCAGAATCCTTGGCAGTGTAAAAATCACCATCTACATTTTCTATTGTATATACATCACGGTGTGCTGATAACCAGAGTCTGAGGGAATAGGAAAAATACCAGCTACAATATTGGGGAAGATGCATTTAAGTCACTCAGTAGCATTACCTTAATTTTTCATTCCCTGGCACAGCTTAAGAGGTAAGAGCCCAAAGAGTGTGGCAGCGACAACCCACCGTTTAGCTGAGTTTTGACAGGCTACCTAGAATACATCTACAAATGTAGTCTATGTAAGAGAGGCTTAGAAGGACAACTACTGACCCTTCAAGGCAATCTTTATTTCTTCACTTCGGGGAGAGTTTTAGTACTGCCCATCTAACTTCTTGTTGAGAACCCCAACTGTAATGCAGAGACGTGGCTGGACAAGCCCCAGGACACCCACAATGAACTGTATGCAACTGGAGGGGTGACAGCACAGCAAGTTTTGTGACTGCTGAAAGATCTTGCCCCCATTCACACTAGGAGCAGAGTGTGAACATTTCCACACCATCCTCCTCCCCATAGGAAGAGGAAGCCTTTTCCACTTCATCACTAGGCTGCAAGACAAGAGACACCAAAACATACTACTTCAGCCCTAGTCATCCTTGCCTATATACCCAGCTGCCTGTCTTCAAATAGCTCCTATTTACAACAGGAGGAGCAACGCAATTCCTCACACATGCAGTCAGAAAAATACTAGAACTGAGATCCAATAATTCCGCCTTCACCTCTGTTATTCTACCCCCTTCCCAGGAAGGCATTGAAACTTGAGCTTTTTTGAGACCAGCTGTGCTCAAAGCAGCACAATTCCCTTGCATAAACAGAGCTCTGGAGACTTGAAATGACTCTGGGAAATCCAGAATCACATCAGCCCCTCCTCTCGCATGCTGGCAGCAGGGACAGAGTGACCTGATACTACTTGTTCTTCTGTAGCCTCTCTTCAGTCAGCTTCCCCAGCACTGCACAGGGTAATAAGAGACAAGCAAATCCCTAGATATACAGAGACTGGTATTCTCCAGAATATGAGGCTGCCTTTAATTGTAGGATCTGGACAGCATGTACAGCAGCAGCCATCACCACATTTCTATCCAAGCCTCCAGCACTAGTACTACTATAGTAACCCTTTCATGGGCCTCACACTCAAAACACTTAGGCTTATTTGATTATTAATTATGTTATTGTCTCTCTAGATGAAGTTCCCTTTGTACGAGGCATTGCACAAAAAATTGCTATTCTGCAGGATTTAAAACTGAACTTGGAATAAGGTTCAGCAAGAGCATGCGACAACAGGGAAGTAGGAAGGATGACTACATGGTTACACCAGTTAGCAACTACCTAATTTAAATTAGAGAAGGTGGTTTCAAACTTGATGGAGTTAATCTGATGGCACTGCTCAGAAATGAGGGCTGCCCAGCTCTGCCATCAAGGGGTGCTGGATTTCTTACGGGCATCACAGCAGCACATCTTAAGGAGCATTCATGAAGTACAGTGGATTTACAGATTAACTCACAAAGGCCATTTCATGCATAAGCATCAACAGGATGACAGATGTATGCAAATAGTCAGGCAGTCCACACTGGCACTGCTAGATGAGAAGGGACAGCAGCAGGTAAACTGAACTGGAAAACATCTCAGGGGCTGTCTGATAAGAGACTGAAGATCACACTCACCAAGGAAGACATCTGGAGTCCCAAAGCCTACAGCTTGGAAATCAGTGAAGTCCCAGACAAGAACAAGTAATCCATGCTTTGCTTTTATACTGATACCAGAAAAAGTAAGCTATTAGTGAGGCACTAAAACAGGGGTTGACAACATACAGCCCACAGGGCAAGAAGACTTTGCCTCTGCTCGTGCTCATGTGGAGGCCGAGCTGTAAGCAGATGGACTGGGGCTGAAAAAGCCACCTCTTCTTCCCCAGCCCTGCTCTCCAGCTAGTGGGTGCAGTTTCCAACCAGAGGAGCTGAGCAGGAGCTGGGCAGCTTCTAGCTGCCCCTTGCTGCAAGGCAAGGGAGGAAAGCACCAGGAGCAGCAGCGCAGATGCAGCTACCTAGCCCCAGCACATATTTGGTTTAATCAGAACTTATGCTTGCACCCTAGCAGGCAGGCTATGAAAAGCAGTGCTGGCACCATTGCCAGCTGCCTGGGCCCAGCACTGGCACAGCCCCATTGCTCTAGAGGTGCTACAGCCACCCAGACCATGCCAGACTGGAGTTGAGTGGTTCTAGCTTATACCTGAAAGTGTTGCCAGCCCCTGCACTAGGGCTTTCATTACTGTAGTCAGTGAACACTTTTTCCTCCCCTTCACTGCACTTGTCCACCAAATTTGCCTTTCCACTTCCCTTTTTAGCCTGTAATGGCAAGCTACAGCCCAAATTTAGTACCCTTTCAGCTTCAACAGCTGGAAGGGGAGGGAAGGCTTCACTTTTGTTGTTCTGTGGCTGAGGAGATATTGTAACATGAGAAGCAAAAACAGTTTAACTAGTGTCTCCAGACCAACAGCAGCTTGTATCATATGCACTTGCTGTTCTTGGGTCCCTCTTGCTAGGTGAACAGGCTCTTCCCCAACCTGTGCCTGCTCACTCCCTCAGTGCTTCAAGAGAAGCACTCTAGAACTTCAATTACAGGACCCCACCCTGTTTTTATATTTTCACAAAGCCCATTCTGTTATCTGCAGTTTCTTTCTCCCAGCATCACTTCCTGCTTCCACTCACTGTGGAGCTAATCAGTTTACCTAGCTGCCTTCAAAAACCAATTGGCTTCAGGAAAAGGGGCTTCTAAATTCTTCTCTCCTAGGGTGCAGAATGCAAATGCACTGTTCTCATCTTTAGTTTGCAAGTACAGCTGTAATCAAGTGATGAAAGCTGCAACACAGCCAGTACATTTTTCCAGTTAAAGATCTTCGGAGCTATTTTCTTTTCAAACCTCATAAGTTGTGTCAGTAAGCAAGGCTCACCACTGTCACTTACAACTATGAAGTAAAGGCATCTAGTCTCCCTACATCCCTTATTATTTTAGATTCAGAAGCACATCTTGTGCTTAGCAAGAGTCCTTAAAGGCTAAAGGAAGCCTTAACTTTTTATCCTTCAGAGGCACCCAGTTTCCTTTTAGCCATGTAATGATACAGGTCAATTTTCAAGCTACTGTATACCACAGACATTTAGGATTTCTTTGCAGGATGGAAAAGGAGACCAGTTACAAAATGGTACAGAATTGTTCATTTGTGAGCAAAGGTTAGGAGAGGCAGCCAAGACTTCCAGCTTGTACTGCTGGCCATTCAGCTCAGGTCAATGCAACCCAAGATTGACCATTCCACCAGTCAACAAGGGTAGTTCCTCTCCATACTATGGAAACAGCATCTACTTCAAGAAAAGACTAAAATTGCACAAAGGCCCACCACACTGGGCTATAAAATTACACAAAAAAAAAAATGTAGACCACCACAATGGATAGCAATTTAAATCAAGCAGGTGAAAGGGCTTAAAAAGGAATTTTAAGCATGCCTCCT